ATGCCACTGGAAAGAGCATTGTCGAAAACCTATAAGAAACATGTTTCGAGTCGTTCAGGTTACTTTATCTTGAAATTCAAATTTTCAGCACGAAATTGTTCGTGTGAATCTCAAAAACTAAGAAATTTCTAGAATTCAAAATCGAGTGACCGAAACTAAATGAGTTATAAACCATTCGATCGATGCAGTTTTTCACGCTGATTCCGAATATGGCATTATATTTGAAGTAAAGTGCGCTTATGAGTGAGAAAATCATCAAATACTTGAAAACCCATTATGGGTTTTGGAAAATCCATAACTCGACTTACAAGAAAAAGGGAAAAAAAGGGAAAATCCCAGTGATGTAGCATGGTCTAGGAAACATTTTGATGCATTTATATGTTAATTTCGCGTGGGGCTAACGAGGGCGATTCAACTATACTGCGGTAGTCTCATGTCGGATTGACGTGATGAGAAATTCATGAGCTTACTGAATTTTACTTATTGAATTTCGTTTCGACGTAGAAACATTTTGTTACCAGTAGATAGCTGAGGACATACTGATTCCGAATATGTGCTTTCAAATCGTTTAGCATAGCTGAGTGAGCAAAGAACCGTGTTTTGCGATATCCGTTATGAATTTTCTGTATCCCATTTTCTCCTCGTAGGAGTCGATCTCAAAATAGACATTTATACACCATTCGATAGCCCATGCGAAGGGCTACATTTTATACTATTTGTTTTTGAAAACAGTACGACTTCGCTTTTTCGCCTAATGTCCGTCTGAATGCCCACTATGCCTAGTGAACTGAGACTTGACTCGGACTGAAAAATAGGACTTGCGCATCTGTTTTTCACATATATGTTGATATTATTTGATTTAAAGGATAGACTGAATTCTAAGATGCTTTTCAAAAACGTTGGATTTGGTTGGTTGGAACAAACTTCCAGTTTGTTCGACAATAAAACAGACGGATCGCGCGGTCTTTTGGAGCTAAAGGTGTCAAATTGTCTTTCATTCAGTACTATTGTTTAGCCTAAATTAGGAGGGGAATGACTCATACAAAAATTTGTCTGCTTTATAATGGCGAATCGCGTCTGATATCAGTTTCTTCAAACATGAATTCGAGAAATGATTTATATTCTTGTCCCAAAGAGGGAAAATACTCTCGCAAGAAAAAATAGTGACACATTCTGCATGATGCATATGTAGCGGGAATTTTTCCTGTTCTATTTTTCATAATATCAAGAAGATATATAAAACGAAGAAACATACTGGCATCATCAGAATAGAAAACGAAAGACAGAATGGAAAATTATCTTATCAAATATTGGTTTCTTATTTGTTTTACCATTGTTATCGGTCTCGCTTATGTTTATCCTGACCTGGGCAAAAGTAACGGTATTCTTCAAAGTCAGTGGACCATCAATCAGCCATGCATCATACTCGTCTTTTTTCTCAGCGGTCTGCTACTCGAAACAAGATTATTCGCTCATGAAATCATTCGTATCCGGCTACACGCTCTGGTTCAATTGTACAATCTTGTATTCATTCCGTTTATCATTTATGGTCTCGCTGTACTTTATCTAAAAATCGAGTCATCATTTAGTTTCAACAAGACACTCATCGCTGGTATCGTCATCACGTCGTGTCTATGTACCACAGTCTCAAGTAACGTTATCATGACGAAACAATCGGGTGGCAATGAGTACTCGGCACTAATTAATTCAGCACTTGGAAACATCCTTGGGGTGTTCATCTCACCAGCACTCGTCACTTTATTCATGAAAAACCCTAATATTGATCCATTAGCGGGAAACATTACAAACAGCATCGATCAATTAGCGGGAAACATTACAAACAGCATCGATCAATTAGCGGGAAACATTACAAACAGCATTGATCAATTAGCGGGAAACATTACAAACAGCATTGATCAATTAGCGGGAAATATTACAAACAGTACACGTCATATTCTAGATTACAAACAAACACTGATTAAGCTCGGTTTGACTCTCATTTTGCCGTTAGCCATCGGCCAGTGTATTCAGCTAATTTGGAGTGATCGCCTAAAATTACTCATCCCCAAATTGAAACTTGCAAAAGTGTCGAGTGTGGCTTTATTATTCATTTTATGGTGTGTATTTTGCAATGCCTTCGCTAACAAATCGTTTGAACGCATTTCTAAAATTGATTTTCTACTACTAATCACCATTGACATTGTCCTGTACATTGGCTTCTCGATTATCCTCACGGGTATTGCTCGAATACCGATTGAATATTGGCAGTTCTCACGAAAAGACACAGTGGCTATCGTTTATTCAAGTATATCAAAAACCATAGGGATGGGTATTCCGTTGATCAATGCTCTCTATGGTGGACAAGATGCTCAAATAGTGGCGCTGTTAGCACTACCCGTCATTAGTTATTACATTATCCAACTCATCCTGGGCTCAATTCAAACTGTGTTATTTCAGCATTGGCTCAAACGAGATAAAGCACCTCAAAAAGGGCTTATTACATTCCCACCTAATATGCTTAAACTTATTATCGAAAAGCAAAAGATAGTAACTTTTGTGTAGATCTTTTCCTAATAATAAATGTGATTTATGAATGAAATTAATATACGAGATAACATGAAGCATTTTGTGCATCACACCGTTCCTTGACTTTGGATTACAATAAAAAACTCAAATAGAATTAGTTAATAATTTTTCAAAAAAAACTCATTTTCACAATACATACAATACAATTTTAAACACGATACGCAGATTTCTTGAAGAGTGGTGAGAAGAAAATCTCACAGTATCTTAAAGTCATGGTTTTGTCCAAATTTTTACAGAAGAATCGAGAAATTTTGTGGTTTTGCAAGCCTAATATTTTTTGATTGGATCCTTTAACTGAACGCTTTCCATCGAAATATTTTCCGTAAAAACGAATAAAGAAGCTAAGAGGCATTAGCATAAAAATATCTGGAATTAAAATCATATTTTTGTCTTGACCGAGGACTGCCAGACGGATTAACTCACAGTTTTCTTAAGTAGTATGTCAGGTAACCTGGCGAGTCTATCCATCATCTATTCATTCCTTCAATCTTAAACGGCATTTTCCCTTTGTTCAAACTAATTATAGCCCACTAATTTTGTTCAAATATATCAGAACAGTCCGAAAACTTCAGTTGATAAGTTCAGGCCCGTTTTGTTGCTCTTCATTATCAACAGAATTTTAGAACGGTTTTTATATCATCGACCACTCTCTAAAAAAAGCGCTTTCTCAAAAACGGAAAGTGGTAGTATCTTGACAGCGGGAACTAATTTTCTTCATTTTAACGGTTTGTGGTTATCCAGAGACCTATGTTACAAGCAGTTACGGTGAAATCTTTATACTTCTTCTTTGAATCTCTATACATACCACACTAGATTGAAAATTATCAGCTATTTATACATTTTTTTAGATTTGTTCCAGCTGTAAAAATAGAGTATGAAAATCGAAAATGGAAGTGTCCGAATAATTTTGGAACTAACTGTATATGTGATCTGACTGGGACTGGGAATGGGACTGGGACTTTTGACTTGAACTTATTTTTTAACTAACAACAAACATCTGTAAAAGAAGAATTATAGCTAAATAAAGGTGAAATAAATATGCGTAATAGTTATGCTACCAGTACAGAAAAGAAAAGATAATCGTCAATAGGTAGAAGAATACAAAAAGAAAAGAGTTACTTAAATGAGCTGATTTAATGTTACAGTTAATACAACGCTTTCTCACGAGAAGTAACAATCAGTAGTATCGCGTGGCCCCCGAATAACTGGCCCTCCTCTTATTTTGCTTATAATTTCTTTTCTTTTCAATCCTTAGACCTGATTGTTTTTCCAGAAGATGCGCCGTCAAATTTTCTACAAATCTTGATCAAACTTGTTTCAATGAAACGACCAACTTTCTAAGCCGAAAGAACGTTTTGTTCCACCACTTTCATTGAGTTGGACGATAAGAAGAAGAAAACATACGCCTTTTGTAGCCCTTGAAAAGCACTATCAGTCAGTATTAGGTGCACAATGTAAAATCAATCTTTGAGACTTACATTGACTTTCTCCTCTTTGAGGCTTTACAAAATTTAGCTGTTTGAATGTGTAGATTCGGAGCTCCTGGAAAAATGCTGCATAACGAAGCTTTTTTCATAAATTCACCTGCCGAACAATAGCAGATTTTGGCCACTTGACAGTGAATTTTAGAATGTTAGATTTTTCAGTACTCACTTAGATTTGAACGAACTGTGAACTGCATAAAAAGAAAGAGCACACTTCAAAGTACTCAAAAATATCTTCACTTTTGTTTTATTGTTTTTAGAGTTTCTTAAAATAATCCAAAATTTGTAAAACAAAACAGCTTAGAAAGTTGGTCTTTTTCATCATGTTAAGTAAACTTCGTTTCATTTTTCTCCTTACCGTTTCATAAAAACAAGTCTGATCAAGATTTGTAGAGAATTTGACGACACATCTTCTGGAAAAACAATCAGGTCTAAGGATTGAAAAGAAAAGAAATTATAAGCAAAATACGACGAGGACCATTTATTCTGGGTCACCCGATACTATGAAAAAAGCTGAAGTCACATGTTCTGCTCAACTTACTTGCTGTTATTTCCTATTGACTAAGGACTGATTTTGCCCTAAAGAATATTCAAATTTTTTTGGAAACAATAGTACCGACAAAGATATTTGAAATCTTATTTATCGACTGTCATCAATAGTTTCTTATTTATCTTATCTTATTAATTATTTTCAATTTTTGAGTTCTACCGGAAGTTCATCATCGAATTCAATATCATCAAATATCCATTACAAATTTAACCCCCAAAATATCTTCAGTATCAATCTCAGTCGACTAATCTTATAACCTGCATATTATGTACAAAATCTCTATGTTTTAATTTTACCGGGTTTTATAATTCTCAATCCTATTCGTGTATATTTTTCGGGATGTTTCTATAATATAAACTCGAATATCTACTTGATAAATTCTAAAAAATCTAATTGTACGACATATAGCATTTGAAACTAAATGTAAATGTCATACTTTTATTATTCATATGTTTGTTAAAAAATACTGGTATGAAAGTTACAACTGCGTAAATGAAACTTGAACATATGAAAATAATTAAAATAAACAAACACTTAAAAGAGATCAATGTATGTTTGAACTAGAATTTTTTTTTCTTTTTTTTGCATTTTTCATCTTCACCTACTCTGTAATAAGATTCTCGAGTGATCACTACATGCTGTTAGTCATCTTTAAAAAAAGTCATTTACTTATTCTAAAGAAAGAACAGATGAGTATCAGAAAGGTAAGTTTTTTATTTTTTGCTATTATCATTCATCTCACATAACTCACTTTAATGAATCATACATCTAATAAGGTGACTGTTGTATTTTTTTTTTTGTCTTCTTTTCTTCTACTTTCAAATATTTTCGAGAAACAAATATTCTACACTGTACATTTCAATGACATTCTTCTCTTCTTATTTTTCTTTTCAAACTTTTTTCAGCACATGTATAGAAAGAGAGAAATAGTGTAGGTTGAAAAAGTTTATAAGTAATAATACGAGGAGAATCTATAAATATATACGCAATTGACAAAACAACATATATCTTTCTAAAACAGTAGCTCGACGTATTCGTATAAAAATCTGAAAAAATTTTTAAATTTTTAAACTGTATTACTTATAAACAATAATGATGTCAAATTCGAGAGAATTTTATACCGAATATATAAATGGGTAAGAAATAGGTTTATTTTCCTAATTTTTTGACTCGATCCTGTGAAAATCTACATTTCGTCTCCACGACTAAGTACTGACCATCAATAAATTCTTTGCTATGTAATAAGTGTAAATATGATTCATGAGTTAAACATTAACGATCTCTAATAGGACTGTGTTCACGACAACTATTCTGACTCAGATTATGTCTTCTCTGAGTGTCACGTCTTCGTGATCAATCTTCGATTAGTTATCCAAATGAGATATAGATTTCAGCAATAGTTGTTCTTATGATGATGGATTCAGAAAAATGTGGTATAGACAATCATCTTAGACCATAAAAAATTTGTTCCATAACCATCTATTTTAGTAAAATGAGTTTTTCTGTTCTTATATCTTACCACATTCTCCATGAAAATTTCTTAGATCCGCCACACTGTAAAAAAATAGTCGTAGATTAATAAAATATCAAAAAGGGTTTATTGAGACCAATAAACCTTTTAAAAAACGCTCTTCCGTTTTTTATATCCAAAAAACTAAAAAGCGTTCGTGACAGATGCAAAATGAAAAATGGGCGGTTTTTTACCAAAAATAAAAAACTGAAGAGATTTTTAGCTGGTATTTTAAACTCGACAAAAAACTGAAAAGGGTTTTTTATTTTTGATAAAAAAACCGCCCGTTTTTTATTTTGCATCTGTCACGAACGCTTTTTAGTTTTTTGGATGTAAAAAACGGAAAAGCGTTTTTTAAAAGGTTTATTGGTCTCAATAAACCCTTTTTGATAGTTTATTAATCTACGACTATTTTTTACAGTGCACTACCGTTTTATTAATTTTCCTATGAAGATAAAAATTTAATGTCTGTTGCTTTTGAAAAGTTCGATATTTGTAACATGCGTTCTGCTACTAAAATTGTAAGGTGACGCTTGATTACTAATTTGAGTCAAATTCATATATAAAAGGTAATTTAATGATATATTAGTTATTTCTTAGTTGGCAGTGTGATGTGATGTACTTTGTTTCCGACTTCTCGTCCGTTGCTTTTAACAACATGTTTTAAGGCTCATAGTCAGTTTTTTTTACAAATTTATAAATAACACGGTTTTTTTCTCCGCTTTATGAATGTCAAGTATATTGTGTATATGTTAAATAAAAAAAACTGAAAACAAATCGATAGTGTTTAATAATGTAAATAGCAGAAGAAAAATGATTGTATAGAATGTAAAAACAGTAAAACCCTCGTTTTTCAGGTGTTATACGTGAGACACTATATTAGTAATAGAGAAAGAATCATTTAATCATCGCCGCCCGATGCGACCTTTTCTGTACTGTAGTTGTATTAATTCGTGTCATTTACAATTAGCAAACACTTGATAAACAGCATCGTGTTGTAAAAAGTACAAGAGGGAAGGAAAGAGTGTAGGAGTAATGATTTAGTAATCGATTTATTGTTGAAACGAGTATATGCATAAAACTTTGACGTTTTTTTTTATTCACTTTCTTTGTAGTATTGCAAGTCCAAAATCGTCTCGTCGATCAGCAGGCACAAACGGTTTAGTTACAAGCGGTATTGCTCAACATACCAATCCACTACACAATCCTCTCTATCCAAATCAACAACAACAACAACAACAACAACAGCAACAACAACCGTTATCAACTGAAACCGGAGGAATGCCTCACTATGGTGGAGGAGCAGAGAAGTGTGCAAGATGTATGAAAAGTGTTTATATGGCGGAGAAAAAGGTCGGAGCAGGAAGGGTATGTAATGAATTGCCTTTTGAGAAAATTACAAGATAATATTGATGGGTCGCTAACAGGGCAA